CAAGTTCAAAGGCCAAGGATAAGTCACAAGCAATATTGTAATAGCGCATGCGATGAAAAAGCAATATGCTAATTACAGGGTGTAAATATGCTGGAGACCACTGATACCATTATTGAATGAAGGTTATTTAGAATGCAGACAGGGCTGTGACGGAGTCAGGCGTAGCGTAGTGTGAACTGAGCAAAGGGAAGAAGAGGTACAAGTAGACTTGGGAGGTACATGAGGGGTTGATCTCATTTCTGGGTGCGCAAAAAGCAGCGAGAGATTGCACAGCCGAGAATTGCCCGACAGGGCAGGTACCCGAAATGGCATGTTCGAGCCGCCATTTCCGGAAGCGGCCTTGCCGTCTCTTTTTTTACTTATTTTTAAAACCATTATTCGTATAAAGGAACTTAACTTATCCAGTATAGCGAGCGAGGTAAGCGATACATTGTTTAAAGTTTAACTTTTATAAAAAGAGTTTATAAAGCGTTATAAGGTTTTTATCAATAAGAATAAAACTTATATAAATAATACGAGTTTTTCATTTTAAAGTGGATAATCTTTTTATAATATAACGATATAACGAAGTCGAAAATAATACTTATATATATATATATATATATATATCACTTAATTTAACTATATTAACTATTTTTAAAAAGGTGTTTATAACTTTAAACGCAAACAATATACCACTTCGCTTCATTCTTATACATAGGCTTTATTTAAAGCAACTTAAATTTGTTAAAAAAGCATTTTTGATAACAATATTAATACACTCTTTTATTATAAACAAGTGTAAATTTTTCAAGTTTTTTTAACAGGGTTTTTATATATTCAAAACGTTATGACACTATTATTTACTACTTTTATCACTTCATAACAGCCGGTTTAAGTTTACTTTCATTATGAACTATCGGCTTTGTACAGATTTAAAGAAATCCTTTTTTTTTTACCGATAACGAACCTATTTAAAAAACTTCAAATATATCAACAAGATTTACTAGTTTATATAATTCTTATCTTTTTCTGAAACATTGTAAGAATATAAACCATATATTTTTTATCTAGCGGTATCTCGTTTAATAACTGTTTAATTTCTATATCAAGCAGTAATTATACCTACTTGTTCACGTCTTTTAATTTATTGTTATTTAAAAAATCCTTTATTATTTATACTTGAAACGAAAAAGGCTTTATATAACTAAATCTTTCTAAGATTTCTTTTAAGGTCGACGGATTATATAACATAATACATCACTTGCTTATATTTCTCAATAATTATGAACGTTAAATTTCATTCTTAAAGTAATCAAAATGCTTCAAATTTTAAGCGTGTAAGTCATAAAGGAAAATTCATCTTTATAAATATCGTTCAAGTATTTAAAAACGTTTTATCTGATATTTGTATCCGCGATGACAATTAGAAAGTTAATGCCGGTTTTATCCGATAAAATGAACTATAAAAACTCGTTAAAATGCATTATATATAACCAGTTATTGTTAAATAAAAGAAGTAGTTATAGGCGTTATACGTTAAAAAGGTTTATTAAGTTTATTAACGGTTAAAAAAAGCCGGCGCTTACCGCTAGTTAAAGACGGTATTAAAGGTTGTTATAAAAAAAAATAAAAAAAATAAAAAATAACTAACCCGTTAATAACGTCCTTATAAATATACGACCGAAGAAGTAACGACTGCTCGTTTTTAATATATATAAAGAAATTATAATAGAATTACTTTTTATATTTAACTAGGCCTATAAACCGTTACATTCCCGTTTCAACCTACGTAGTTAATTATTATCAGGCGTAAAATAAAGAATACCGACCCTTTTACAGCGTATTTTACCATAATTAACCTTGTCTATTTTTAAATAAGAATAAAAATTAAAATAAATGATAAACAGTTGAATCGACATAAGACTTTAAAGCTTAAACATATTAATATAAGTTAATAAACCTAGGTTTTATATTTAAAAAGTATTTATCGAGCTTAACTTTTTATTATACTTAAACCTTTTAATAATTGATACGAAAGTCAAGACTTCTTTTAAAATTTATAAGCTATATTAAATAACAATGGGTATAGTTTTTAAAACGACCTCGTTAAAGCCAGCTTAAGTATAATTCATAAAAAATACGTCGAAATATATTATAACTTAGGTATTTTAACTCTTTGCACATTTCACCGTTCTATAAGTATTAAAGCTCAAAATAATTCTTTATTATATTATCTTATTATTAAACTCAAAGTTTAGCTTAGCGTATTTTTGATTATTGTGTTTTTTCATAAAATCAATAAATGCATAAAGCAGTTTTATCCGAGGTTATATAAACGTTTACTTATATTTTATTTAATATATTTAATATATTAATCTTTATTAAAGCTAAGTAAGCTTTCTTTATAAGCTTATCGTTTATCGCGTTATTATATCCATTCAATTTTCTATAACGGTTAAAGTTGTTGTTTTTTATATTGCTTTTTATAAGAGATTATAAATCTAGGTATTATTTCGTTAAATTTTCTATATTTAATAAGAAAATAACACCGCTATCTTTTATTTACCTAGTTTTATTTCTTCCATTATTATCGTTCACCTGTTTATCACGGTTAATACCGGCTAGTATTATAAGTTCAAATATATTTCAAAAGGTTAAAATTATTAAAACAATTAATAAAGATAAGATTATTGAGTCGCGGACAACAACAACACCTACAATGGGGCTGCTTGTATAATGTATATAAGAAGGGGAAGGAAGAGCCATTAGCAAAGCCACACAATGAATTTGAAAAATGTACCACATAGAGATAATACGACGTGTATCTGAACTGATCGCTCAATTATATGTGTTATGAGAGAGGAGTGACTTTGTAGGAAGACGAAAGAAAGCAACCAAAAATGAACGGTGGCATTTATATGCCACCGACCTGGCTGTACATGATATCAACCCTGCCCTAAAACATTATAAGACTAAATAAATTGGTAATAAATTATTGAATAATTTAAACGTATTAATAAGTAAGTTAAATACTTAAAAAGTATGTTATAAAATGTCGTTTTTAATAAAAGTTCTATTTATATAACCATGCGATCGAGTAAATTAACATATAGTAGTAAAGAGACGTGGCATTGATAAATAATATAGTTAAATAGATTATTTTTTATATAAGGCCTGGTGTCATGGTCTGGTATAGGTAGCGCATGTGGTGAGTCCTGGAGCCCGGGCATGAGTACATGTACCACCATTGAATGTCAAGCTGCCACGCTTGATATTCGGCATCCTTTTGGGAGGAACAGCTGTGGCATGGTGGTTATGGTGAGCGTTCCGTCACACCTGGCAGCTTTAATACTTTTTTAATAACTTTTTTTTATTTTATAATAAGTAAAACGATAAGCTTTGAATATTATTCATGATGAATTATATTTTAAGCTAGTATTGTTTTTATGAAAAGAGTGGTATGAGTAACGTTAAATAAGATTAAGCGTCTTCTTAAAGTGTATATTAATACAGTAATATAATGAAATAAATATAAGTTGTAGTTGAAAATAAAACGGTAATTTTAAATTTAGTAAATACTTATAAAATTAGAAATACCAAATAAATTATTATTTTAAACTTTAAGCTTTAATAATACTTTTCTTAAAAAGGTATAACAAGTTATACTAATTAAAATGATTAATATTAAGTAAACATTGTGACGGAATGCTCACTATAACCACCATGCCACGGCTGTTCCTCCCAAAAGGATGTCGATTATCAAGCGTAGCAGCTTGACATTCAATGGTGGTACATGTACTCATGTCCGGGCTCCAAGACTCACCACATAGGCTACCTATACCAGACCATGACAAACATATTCTTTTAAACCTTATATACTTACCGACTTATTACCCGTTGCTTAAGTCTTACTCCTTTATATATTTATCACCTTAACGTCCGCTCCTAGACTTCAAGATGTATAATCTTAACTTATTAAATAAATACCAGCCTAGCACCTTAAACTAGCCGCTTGTCGTTAGCCGAACGGTAGTTTTCTGACCCGGCCTGTGAAAAAAGCAATTCCGCAAGCCTTTTGTTAGATTAAAGGTACGCCTAGAAGGCTGACAGGTTGACAACGGAACCTAGTTGTTCCGTCCCGATCCAGCCCCCTCTGGCACAAAACTGCCACGGTCGCACAAGGACACTCTAGACAGACGGAATACACACACACACTTCACTCTGACGATTGGCTCAAATCTGACAGTTTATTATGTGTGTGCACTTGCGTGTTGACAAGCACCCACCAAACTCTGCCGGATCAATCCAGTTATGGTGGACGACTGCTTGCGCATCCATCGACGCTCGTCCAGTCTGGCCCCAGTGATGCGTGTTATGATGTTATCAAGGGCTGTGTGCTGGGTTAGAACTGCCAGCAGGAGGTTCGCGAGGGCGGTTGCAGAGCGCTGCGGTGTCAGAGTGCCATAAACCGCGCCGACAAGTTCTCTGATCTGGTGGGTAGCGTTGGCATTGAATGTCGTCAGGTCGTGCTTGGACTTATCCCTACGGGCCTGTCTGGCATGATGTTGGATGTGTAGCGAAAGGCATCCTGCAGGTGAAGGCTGCTGCCGCAAGCCACAATTTGTTCAGCAACGTGGTGAGGTGCGGGGCAAGAGATACGACCGCAAAGGTCGTTGTGGTTGAAATGCTGAGTCCTGCGTCGAGAGAGGATTGTCAGATAATTGGCACTCACACCCCCAGTTTCAATAACAGATGCTCACGGACTGTGTGCTTCGGTACAGGTAATAAAGCCAGGCGTGAATATACGCAGATGCCCAGTGTGCCAAGCTGCAGGGGCGAGTGGATATCTGAACACGTTACTCCGGAGTTTAGCCGGCGCACGGCTCACATTATGTCGTAGCATTAGCTGCCGTGGATGTTGCTTGACCTTTCATACTTGCCGTGTCGATTTCGCCGTGTCAATTTTGTCGTGTTGTGTAGCTTATCGTCTGCATTCGTCATGACCAGTAACCACCACAATGGAAGATGAGATTGCCAAGTTGAGGTCTCAGCTTGCTGAAGAACAACACCGGCGCAGGGAGGAGCAACGCCGACGAGAACAGGCCGAGGCTCTGGCTACCGAAGAACAGCATCGACGCGAGGAAGAGCAGCATCGACGCGAGGAAGAGCAGCGCCGACGCGAGCAAGCCGAACAGCAAACCAGGCAGACAACACTGATGGAATACATCCAACTATGCCATGACCTCATCTTCTCACAGTTGGTTATTGAAACAGACAAACGTCTCACATCAAAAGGTTCCATTACCAATCCACGAGATAAGTGGTGTCCTGCACTCATGTTACCATGGTTGGATTTCTTTGATCAGCAAAAAGCTGTCTTCCGCGACCTTCATTCCACCTTTCCTGGCGACACAGAGGCCTTTGAAAGTCGGAGTTTCCTGCAGGGCCTTGGCGAGAGGATAGCAAGAGGAAAGGTAGCAAATGAGAGAGATCTAGAATACTTCCAACATACCAGTGTTGAGGATCCCGTACGGTCCATCATCGAGCGGTTCAGGACAGAGGGCGGGGTCAAGAGCGAGTTCGACATTGCAGGCGGCATTGTTTTCGAGAACCATCCCAATGCCATAAGCGACATGGCCGAAGAAGTACTGGCACGTCGTGCTGACACCACCCAAGCGCGACCGACAACGCCAAATCATGCCCTCCGAAGGGGAAGCAGACTCTGCCCGGATCAGATCTGTGTCTACCGAGATGACGGTACGCAGCCTGGTGGACGAACCGCGGCCTACATCATCGAGTACAAGGCACCACACAAGCTTACCGCACCGCACCTTCGCCTTGGTCTCCGTCGCATGGACATTTGCAAAGAGGTTGTAAATCGGAGTACCATCCCAGCGGCTACGAACAATACAGAGCGGTTCCGATATCACGCAGATAAGCTGACAGCAGCTGCGGTCACACAGACCTTCCACTACATGATCGAGGGTGGACTTGAGTATTCATACTTAACAACGGGCGAGGTTATCGTCTTTCTTAAGATTGATTGGTCCGACCCTACCAAGCTCTATTATCACCTGGCAGAGCCTGGCCCGGAAGTTGCCGCACACCCGGATCAAGCAGGCTATTGTACGGCAGTTGGCCAAGTCCTGGCATTTAGTCTAATGGCTTTCGGCAAACCGGGTCAACGGCAAAAACATGCACAGGAAGAGCGACGTTCGGCAATGAAGCACCTCCAGACATGGACCGAAGACTACGAAGAAATCCTGCGCTCCATCCCAGCAAGCGAGCGACGAGCACCTCCAAATTCGGCTGGCTATGAGCCCAGCACGTACAAGAAAGTGAATCGATCACCGTATGACTTGCGTGGCAAGAAGAAACCGAAGAGATTGATAGTTGACCAAGATCGTCCTGCTGCTGGCACCCCTGGTAGGAACCAGACCCCAGACCCGTCTGAGGACGAGTCTGAGCAGCACTTGTCGCACAGCCCAACGCCGACCGGCTCGAGAAATCGCAGCCGGCCTGGGCAGCACAGCCAACCAGATTCAACACAGCAATCTTGCGGGGCCAACACCAGTACCTCGCCTCAACATCAGTACTGCACGAATAAGTGCCTCTTGGGACTGGTGCACGGAACTTTCCTTGATGATCAGTGCCCCAATGTTGCGCTGCACCGAGGGAAGAAGAACGGCGATTGTCATCCGGTCTCGCACTCCCAGTGGCTTCATCTTCTCAAGGAACAGCTCGAGCGGACATTAGACGACGGCATCGTATGTCTCGGGAAGCAAGGAGCACGAGGAGTCCTATTCCAAGTTACACTACTCGAGCACGGCTACACGTTTGTGAGCAAGGGCACAATCTCGGAGTATGTTCAGGATCTCGAACACGAAATCTCGGTATATCGTCGACTTAGTCCTGCCCAGGGCGTTGATGTGCCTGTCTGCTTAGGCGCTATTGACCTCCGTGATATCTCACGCATCTATTATTACGACTTTCGCGTGCGGGTTGTCTATATGATGTTTTTAGCATGGGGTGGCCGAAGCTTGCATGATCTGGACCCTTCTGACACCGTCCCCGCAAACCTCAGCTACGCACTGGTTCGGTCGGTGCAAACGCTGCATACAATGGGAGTGGCACATGCAGACGTCCGGATGTCTAACTTCTTATGGAACGAAGAAAATTATCGCGTCATGAGTATCGACTTTGAGCGGGCGATCTTGATGGATCCTCCACGGCTGCCTCTCGCCCAAGTCAATACCAACAAGAGAAAACGAACAGCCCCCGATCTACATGACAAGCCAGCAGCAAAGCCAGCTTCTCAAGCCGACTACCGTCGGCTGATAGCAGACGATATTTCAGCAGCCCGGTCGATTTCGTAATCTCGGCACGAGAGAAAAGCGCACTATGCATCACGATCGGACTCGTGTCTCGCGAGACCGCCATCCCAGTAGCACATATGCTGGTGGTGATCGGGCGCGTGGAGTTCATTTCCCAGAACCCCTCGTACCTACACCTTGGGCTTTTTTGTTTCGGCACGCACGGGCACGGCCCTCCAATGGACCTCGTCCACTTCACGAGTCGGTCGCCTCTTGCTTAAAAGGGGTTGCAGGCGCCCTTCTGTCTGTATACGCACTCGTGAGGCTTGCTGCGTGTTGCGTGGCGATGCAGTGGTCGGACATGCGCGGGAAATTCAACCCTGACGGCAGCTGTCTCATGGATGTCGCTGAGTCTCCGCTGCAGGTGCTGCTCTCTCGTACAGCAGTAGAAGGGGGCGGCGCGCATTGTGAGCCCCTGCTCGTCGTTGGCCGTGACGCACAGGGGCATCAGGCACTGGCCGCGATGGGCATCAAGCCTGCCGAGCAGCAGCATTGATCGTCTTGCTGTTCTGATTCTGATGTTGGAGCTGGGAGGGTTGGGTTGGGGATGGAGTGTAAGGGCGGACCAAGGGTCATAGATGAGCAGCCTGACGGGAGGCTACGAGGAATAGGAGCATCATGCAGGGTCATAACGAGAGTATGGTCAACGATAACAAGATCTTACAACTCCCAGTCGAAACCAATAGACAACAATACCAATGTCACATTTCGAGTACGATTCTCAGGAGTTGAGCGAACGGGGCGTAAGTTTTGGATAGCTAGTTAGCGATACTCCAGTCCTTGCGACACAACTGTGTGGACTTGGTTTCCATGGCCTTCCTGCCTTCCCACCCGCAAGACTTTTCTCATTCCTGACACCACCACCGCGGCGACGACCCGATCGCCCAAGTCAGTCCCATCTACTTTGGCATCAATCCATAACCTGAACCGACAACAGGTAAGTCATCTATTCCCACTTTGTCGAATCCTGTGCTCAAGCCCATCGCTCACAGGCAGTTCGCATCTTCCGGAAAGGAATGGTCTTAGCTATTGAGAGAGTTATCGATACAGTAGGCGTGCTTTCCAGGCTGCTGCCTGACCACGCTCCTTGTCGCCACTGGTAAGGGCTGCAATGCATGGTTACGTTCAAGACCGAAGTGGTCACTTGGAAGCATGCCGCATTTTTGCGACGCTAAAGGCCCAATCAAAATCAACCGGGCTTACTTTGATAGTTGGAAGGCACCGACATCTCGTGGTTCTGGCCTAGCTACCTTCTGAATGCGGGCCCCGAAAACTTGCCCTGCACCCAGAGTCCTGATACCTGGCGCACCGAAGTTTAGCCACCAAAATCCTGACATGCAGGGAATGTCGGCGAAATATGGATCATTTAGCCGATGCACACCATGTTATACATAGAGCCAGAGATAGACACCGGAAGATCTCCAGTGGGGCAGAGACGCACAGGGCATCTGACCCACCAAGAAGACAGATGATCAATCTCTGCACACTGAAGAAGCAGAGCAGAACAATGAACAGAATCAATCAACATCCGTGTATTCAACAACATCCTCATAATCGGGATGGGAATAAAGCGCTCGTAAAGTAGGATTACAAGACCCCATCATTTAACAGGTCGAACACTTTTACGAGTATGTATAGCACTGCGTGGCAACTTAGACTAAAGCTTTTTGACTTCCTTCTTTATCACACTATCTACAGGGCCGCGATAGCCTAACTCTGATTTATTTTCTTCAAGTTCAAAACCAGGTGCATTATCCTTTAACGGCGTGGGCATATAAATAGGACAACCCCATATATGGGACAGTTTTTACACCAGAAGACTACAGTTGCACTTATAAATAACTCTATCGGAATAAAAGCTCTAGATGATGTGAGTAATGCATTCGAATCGCCTTTTCTTGGTGTTTCTTTTGATTTTGAGTTTATTAGGGGTATAGCAGCAGTTTAGGCCGCTATGATTGTTAGAAGCCTGACTATGCCTTGTTTCCACTAAAGGGTCAGGAAAACCCGACTTATAGCAGCCTTGAAGGTGAAATTTAATAAGGGCAAAACTCCGTGCTATCATAACTTTACCTCTAGCGTAGATTACATTAAGCGGCTAGATTTTAAGAAAGAGAAAAAAGGGAGAAATATTCTTGTTCAAGTCATATTATCGTGCTGTTAATACTGACCGAGTTATATGAATCGTAATAATGAGATTTCGGTGGGAAAACTGTCCCATTTATATGCCCCCGCCGTTAGTGCGTTTCGTGCCCTCCAAGCAACCTATTGTGCCAGCGCAGTCGTTTCATGCAGAGCATTCTCACACAAGCAGGTCATTATATCAAATCATATTCATCAGCCATTGCCGGGAACAAGCCCTAACCTACCCATCAGATGGGCATCACTTCCGCGAGCCTGGGATCAATGCGCCATATTCATTGCGGGTCAATGCGGATCGCTGCTTAGCGAATGAATTCTACTGTTGAGAGAAACCACAATACCAACCACAGTCGCCAGCAGGGACCCTCACGTAATGAACGCGTTTAGGGTCTTGGGTAAAATCATATCCCGTCAAAGCGGTTCGTCTCTATTAGCAAGGCTAGCCTATGCCTAATTGTAAAATGTCTTCGCTTCGGTTGAAGGCTTGATCGTGGCCGAGCGGAAGAGAGGTTTCCGTGACGTGACGCCTCAGCCTTGCCGCCGCTCATTCTCTCCCACCTACCATGCTGCATCATTATAGTCAACTCCCTCTCCAACTACACCCACGCGCCTAGACACGTACAATTAGCACTACGTCTCTAAAGAAATGCGACCAACCCCCTTGGCCCTACCGCCCAAGTCTCCCTCCTCGATACAATCTCTGGCATTGGCTAGCCCCGACAACTCCGACTGAATGCTCGACGAGCCGTATCCAGACTACACAAGACTTACATCTCCTCGAAAAGCCTGTTCCTGCCAGTCAAGAACGATCTTCATCTTATACTGAGGTCTAGAAAGTGACCGGTTCATCGTAGGTCCCGTGGGACGACAAGAAAGACGGGAAAGACGGGAAAGACGGGAAAGACGGGAAAGCTCTCCCAGACGTGGAGGCCTGCCGAGGATGAAGGACGATGGCAAAATGTCTAGGAATATGTCAACTTGATGTGAACTTTGTCGGTAGTAAACCCTTGCTGCGAGACGTCGCGGCGCGGCTGTACTGGGTTACGGTTCGGCCAAGTTACAGATTTAGCTCATAGTTTAGGTTGACTTAATAATGTTAGGATTATGCGGGGGCAAGGGTCCTACCCCGCAGTCGTCCAATGGGGCAAAACACCCAGCTACATCTACGCAACTTTGACACTAGGAAGCACACCCCAGAGATCTGGTTTACAACGCCCCACTACATGTTAGTACCGATATTGGTCCTCGACAAAATCAGGAGGCAGCCCAGCGGCACTACCAAGTTTAATAATAGATACTAGACGCTCGAATAGACGTAACTAAGCGTTAATATAAAAAGCGGTATAATATTTAAAGTAGTAGTAGATTTATTACTTGCTAGTAAAACATCGATTATAATGTTAGTATAATAAAATTGCGGCTTTAAAATTATCCGTGTATAAAGCGTTATACGTTACGAGATTTACCTTTTTTTTATCTAGTATTATATAACCACCCTTTAAGGTTTTTAACCCGTTTACTTAGATTTTAACGATTAAGCTTTTTAATTTTCCTACCTTGTAATTTATACTTATAATAAAGCTGTTACTTATTACTTTATTTATCTTTTTAATAATTAATATATATTTAAAATCTGTGAGAATATTGGTGTTTATCAGGTGTGTGCTGCAGCTGGCAGCAGGCTGAAAGGGGTGAAAGGGACCCAAAGCGGGTGAAAGGTCCATTGTGGTGACCACTGGCAGGACTGTTATCTGCTGTCAGGCAGCCGGATATCAACGGGCTCCCACAGCTGTATTTAAATGGGAATATCTCCCATAGATCCATAACTAAGCCACCAAACCTAATCCATACCATCTTGACCCTATCTGAACCTCTGAACTTCACAATATCGATTATAACGAAAAGAAATATCGTGTTTATTAAATAAAGGGTTAAAAATTTAATCGAGAAAGTAATAAAGGATTGCGAGGTTGAAAAATGGTTTATATATATATACCCCGGCTAAAAGGTTCGAGATTTTAACATGGGCTTATATACTAGCTGCGGTTAAACGGCGCTTTAAACTGCTATCTTACTTAATTAGGTTTATAGTTTATATGTAAGCTAGTATAATACTAATTTTTAAACTTAATAATATTAGGCTGTATCTTTTCTTATATACATTTAACTACCTTTATATATTATTATCTTCGAATACATACCGTTATTACGCGTGCTATTGTTTTAGTTAATTAAATATTACCTAGTAAGATATATTTCCTTCTCAATATATAAAGTATATTAAAGTACATCTTTCTTTATATGCTTTTTATTAGTCTTATATTCGTTTTTATACGTTATTTTAACCGGCTATTAATATTATTCATACAACCTCCGGTTTTTTTAACATTAGCACCTCATTAAACGTTAAATAACCCGGCTTTTTAAATATATTATTATATAATATTATATTATACACCTTTAAACGCTAAGCTTTTCTGATCAAGCTTAATCTTATATTATAATTTTATTATATTATAACTTAGGTTTTTATACAAATACATTACTTGTTATAAAACTTATAAAAAAGCACTTGTATTTAAAAAAGACATATCAAAAACTTAAATCGTATATTTTATTAAGTAATAAAAGTAATAAGTGTTGGATCCATGCGATTCCAGACTGCAAACCATCTATACCAGGACCCATATGTATGATTAGATAAGATAAGATAGTGGATTGAGAGGGCACTTGGCCAGACCTTCGAGTCCAGCTAGATTCCTCTCAATCCAACCATCAGCAACATCATGACCTTGACCCCATACTCGAGTATTATGATTGATCGTTCAAGCCTGTTCCAACAATAAGACATATAAATAAAGTTAATATCTTAGCCTTGGTATATCAACCCGTTAATTAAAAATGCGTGTTTAACAGTTTTAACTTGTTATATTAAAGTACGTCCGGTTTTTATCTTGAAAATTTTTTATAAAATCAAATAACTTATTTAATTTACCTTATTACTTCTTTAAAGTATATTGAGTTACTTTGCGTAATTCAACATACCGGTAAACCTTATTAAATCTTTAGTAATAACATTAAAACTTAACCTTATAAGTATTTAAAAACAATTTTTTTACTTGGCCGAAAAGTTAAATAAGCTTTATCAAACTTTAAAGCTTAAAGCCGAAATAATCTTTTAAAAAGCATTATAATACATTTTAAAGGTATTATCAACAGCTTTGAACATGCATTTCAAACCTTTTTTAAAGCTTAGTAATTAAAACTTACAACTTAATAAATAAAAACCTTACAACTGTAAATCTATTGTAAGTTGTTAATTATATATACCACTTCAACTTTATAAAAATATGTATAAAAGTTAAATAATAAATCCTTAATATAAATCTTTTAAATGATAAAACCACCTTTTATCAGACTAAGTACTTTATATTGGACGTATTACATACAAAAACTCATTAAAAAAAACTAAACCATATTTTAACGCATGTTTTATTATACCCGGACTAAATAAACCTAAGCACTTCTTCGTTAAATTAACTCTTGTATGATGGTTCCACCATCCATCAAGTCTAGGAATGGTCCTTATAGTCCCCGGTCACGTGACTAAGCACGTGAATGATCGGACGATAGGTTGATCTATGCCCTGGTGGGTCTGGTGGGGGACGACTGCCCACATCTAGCTACCCACCAATTCGGGTGCATCTCCAGATCTTTGTTTTCCTTCAACCAGAGTTTGTTATACGTCAATAGTTAATAATGGTCCCTGTATCCTTGCAATACATTTACGGAATCGTGACATCTTGTTAATCTTTATTATAAGTTAAACTATTTTAATATAGAGAAATAAACATATCGTTTCTTTAAAGTTAAAATAATGATTAAATTAGACGTTTAACGGTCAAAACTACATTTTAATTAGTTTTATAAAAAGTATTAACAGCTGTTTTTTTCGCTTTTTGAGGTAAAGAATAAGCTAAGTTGATATTAATACGGACAGCCTTATTGGAAAAGCTTTTAATCATTTTAACAATATATACGTATTAAATATAATCGATTAACCTGACTACGTTAAGTTACTAATTAACTTTACTCGGGTATTTTTAACTTTGAAAATAACGTTATAAAGATAAAAGGATATATTGGCTTAAAACAGCCTTTATAATCCTTTAAAACTATTTACTTATAACGTAATATACCTCTTTATTTACGTTATTTAACATATATTAATATATATTAAAAAAATTAAAAGGTTCACGTAATAAAAATATTTAATAAAAAGCGCTTTTAAGTTTGATTTTGAGTATAAAAACATATATCTTTTATAATGTAAGTTATTAAACGTAGTACATAAATAGTCTTTAAAGTCGACTATGTATCGGTAATTTTATAATAGCCTGCTAGCTTTTTTATATAAGCTACTTATTAAAAAACTGGAAGAGTAATCAATTAAAATGTATAGATATTATTTATTTTTTAATTATAATAGTATTGAATGACTAGTAAACGCACTCAATTAGTTAATATAAGTATTAATTAAAGCTTTAACCGGTAAGATTTACTTTATATAATAACTAAATACTCGTATTTATTTAACCGCTTTTTAAACGGCCAGTTTCTTTTTATGATAAAACTTAATGCTTTTAATAGCTTTTTATAATCTGTAGAAAAGCTAGTATTTACCTTTAAAACAGGCCTTATAAAGTCTTTGATATTAAAAAAGAGCTAAATAGCTTAATATCGTAAATATAATATATTAATAAGGATTTTATAAGTACGCCGATATTTTTAACGATGAAATTAAGTAGTACTTCTTGATAGTCTCTACTTTAAGTTAAGATGATATTTTAACATTTAATAACAAGTTATGTTTATTTTTAAAGCTAGGTAATTTATTAAAACAAGCTTAAAAAAGAGAGTAAGTAGTTTTAACTTTAATATAACTTTATACTTATAAGTAATAAAAAAACAATTATTTTAAAGCGGGTAAAAGGCTTTTTTAAACAGATATTAATGTTAGTATTACTCTCGTTTAACGGCCTACATGTTATAAAGCGATTTTCGTACCGGGTGTATTACTTTTTAAATAATTATACTAGTATAATCTTAAAAATAATATAAGCGTAATAAAAAGCTTGATAATAAATATCATAAAACTCGTAATTATAAACGTAATATAACCGTAATAAAAAATAAGCGTTTAAAATTTACAACTTTTAACGTGTCTTAGTATAATATTTGTTAATAATATTCATGTTACATATATATAACATAAGCAATTATTTATATATATACCGTTTTAACTACTTTTAAGTTAAAAGCCGATTGGACCTTGATGAGAAATAATATAACATGGCTTTAAGTTTTTACACACCTTGTTATTTAGCTAATAAGCGCGAGTTTCCAAAATAACACCATTAAAATAAAGGTTATTTAATACGCTATTATATGAAAAAATTGTACTAAAAAGTAAAGGAAGTTAAAAGATTATATTTACGGTATATATTAACGTATATAAGTCGTTTAGGTTGAAATTTAATTAAAGAGTCTAAGGTGTGTATCTACTTATATAAATTAATTATTAATACGGGTACAATTAATAATTTTCGGCTAAACAATACGGTGCCGTGTTTTATACCTGCCGTATTTAAACCAGTATTAAAAGGGGTTTTAAAGATTATTATAAACTATACAACATCTATATAAAAAGTAAGAGAAATAACCGATATTATTTATTATAAGTAAATTTGATAAGTTGAAACGTGCTTTAAGCTTATTAAATAAATTACGTATCGGGCCATTTCACCTTTCGAATTAACTTTTCTTCCAACGCTTATTATATTTACACTTATACCCGCTCAAAGTCCGTATCACACTAACTTAAACGTATATTAGTTAAAAAAACATTAAAATTAAATGTTTTAAATAATAAAACTATTTCCCAAAAAGTATTTTCAAGGTTTTTTAATTTTTAAATAGTTTATAACGCTTTTAGTTATTAGACCGGTAAAGACCTTTATAAAGCGGGCATTATTATAAATGTAATAAAAATTACCTTATTTTTAATAGTATATTCATTCTTTCGGTTCATAATAGAATAAAAATGTTAGTTAAAAGAGAATATGTTATATAAAATGTTGGTTTTTTAAATTGCGTAGTAAAGATCTATTTAATTTTATTTAACAAGATTTAAAAAAAAGCTGCTACTAAGTTGCGTTTTTGAAGATTAAACTGCTTTAAGTTTCGATTTATTATTATATCGTGATATTTTGAGGCATATTAACGTATATGTTAGATCCATGTGATTCCACAGTCAAACCATCCATACAAAACCCACATGTATGATTAGATAAGAGATTAGATACCGGATTGTGAGGTCACTTAGCCAGACCTGCAGGTCCAGCTGGACTTCTCAATCCAACCATCAGCAACATCATAACCTTGACCCCATACTCGAGTATTATAATTGATCGTTCAAGCCTGTTCCCACAGTATATATTAATACGCAAAAGCGAAGCAAAGCTTAGAAGTAATATAATTAAGTAAATAAAAATTAGATAATAAAAATATAAATGATATTGAAAGTTAAAAAGAAAAGAAAAGCCGTACAAATAACGCAAAAGAAAGAAGAAGAAAAAATGCTTAAAATGTAATGCTTTTGATATGATAATTACTTTAAAAGCTATACGAGTTTAAGATATTTATTTATTATGTAATTATATAATATTTAATTACAAATCAGCTTTATAAAGTATATTTAAAAAAAGATTAAAAGAACCGTTCAATACCTTGTAAAGTTTACGAGTAGGATTAACTAGCTATATTAATAAGTTATAATAAAGTCTTAACATTACTAGTTAAAGTTGAAAAAAGGATTTCAAAGCTTTTCAAGCTCTAATATTATATAAAACGAGTTTTTGTATAAACATTAAAGAGGGTTTAAAGCTTACTTAACTAGGGTTAAATTTTTAAAAAAGTGTAGTTAACTTGTAAGTATCGTAAAAATCTCGATTTAATCACATTAAGCTAAATCAAGCCATTAAATCAATTAAATCGGCTTGATTTAATAGTGACGCTGAAGGGAAATTTTTATTTGCACCTTATTCTGGGATGACATGTTGTGTTGCAGATCGCACACGATGCAGCGATCCCCCTCTTTATCCTTTGCACGACTCCGTTAATATATAGGCTGGATTTCCTCTCGGTCCAATCCGGCTTGTCGGATTGAAACTCTAACTTTTGCGTGAAGACCCCGAATTAGCCTGCATAATCATCCATGCATAATAAGAAAATCTGACGATGTGCAACAATTTCAATGGCGACCTGGCCCCCTTCTGCCAGCTAACTAATGGCAGCAAGCCAAACTCGGGCTCAACTTACAAAAGTGCGTGTATCGTTTAAGCATGCAATACTATCCACTAACAATTAGCAGTAACCTGGGACCTAAAAAAATTCGGCTCAGACTGTGGATCCAGTGCATGGACCCATATGGAGTATTCTGGAACCCCACCAGATATGTTGGAGGTTACCTGATGAAGGCTGCCTGGCAACCCTTTGTTGCCCCAGGTACCTCACCACTGTAATTTGGGTATTTAGATACATCTCGGATGGAATCCTTTCTATCCGACCTTTTAATCAAGCACCACCCAGACCACTGATAGATTACAACAAGACTTGTGATTTGTCAGCATCTGGGAAAGCTACCAAAAGGCACAAGACGACGCCTTTATCTAATTAAGCGGCATCTTCCACCCCCTGGACGGCAAAACAGAAGAAGGCCAGGACGGCTTCGCCGTGCCCGACCTACGAGCCGGCGACGGCAAGTACTCATGGCAGATCCTAGACACCTACCGCGCGAACGGGCAAGACACGCTCGCCCTCGTCGACACGGCCAGCGGGAACGAGACCCTCACCCCTGGACCGCATGTGCAGCTCGTGCGCGCGAAGTCGAGTGGGCCCGACGTCTTGGCCATCGTTCTGCCGGTGCTCTTCAGGGTCTTGGTACTGGGCCTGGTGGGAGCGTACCTGTTCAAGCGGCGGCGCAATCCGGAGTTCACGCTTAGGGGGATGCTGCCTGGCGGCAGAGCTGGGGCTGGGGCTGGGTACGGGGCGAAGCAGAGTATACGTGAGCGGATGGCTGCGGCTGGTGGCGCTACGGTGCAGATGGGACCGGTGGATTATAGTAGGCCGCGGGATGGGCAGAATGTTTCTCGTGATGAATTGCGGAGACAGCAGACCTTCAAATAAAGGGGTTTATGAGTGGGGGGGGTATCTTTGCTCTTTGTTGCCACGGGTTTAGGTACTTGAGGCAATAGGCGTTGGATTGGGAGGTTAGGGGCGGCCGGGCGGTCGATCGACGACACACCAGCAGACCTCGGGAGCTGGAGATAATGATAATTTTCATGGAGTGGTTCACTGTCCCTATTCGTATCCTCATGGTGCAAATCGTGCTTTCAACAGTCTTACGCCCCTAGCCTTGCCCGACTTGTGATAAGGACCTAACAAGTTTTGAAGGTTTGAAGTTTTGTAAGTAGGATAGGCACCTACTGAAGTACTTGTAACCGCTGTCGGGAAAGAACGCCCGGATTGTGGGAAGGTGCCATTTACGGCGTCTCAGCAATCAAGCAGGTGTGACCGCGTGCCCAGTGACTGATGAGATCGAGATCGAGACCGTGACCACCGATCCCGGTCTTCCTGCACGCCCCGCGAAGTTTCCATACCTAAGGTTATTGGTGGCGTCCATATAGGTGGCGTCCATATATGGTAGGCGTACCGCAAGGCTCTGTCGCCAGTCGAGTTCTTCGAGCATCAGCCTGCATGAGGTATGACTCGAGCCTTCGGGCATTGATGGCAATTGACCCAGCCTTATTTTGAGATGCTTCCCATCTGCCACGAGGTGTCACTCTTGCGATTTTACTCGGTTTAACCTGCGAAGAGACGCGACAGCCAAATCGCTCGCGAGAGCGGCGAGACACCCAAGAGCCTGGCACCCTCATCATTCATCCCAAATCCTACACGTCAGCACTCTTCCGACAACCCCGAAGTCGCTTTGCCCCGAAACCTGGAGTTGTCATACGATGGAGGCCATCGGGGCGGGAGCTAACGTGGCCGCATTCGTCGTGATCGGACTGCAGCTCGCCAAGAATGTCTACAAGACGCTATCCACAATCAAGGACGGGCCTGCAATTGTCCAAAGAGTTGCGAACGATGTCAATCAGCTTCACTGGATCCTGGAGCAGCTCCGGCACTCTCAGGCGGCTGTTCACGACGCCTCTTTGGCAGGACACATAGGGCTATGCGTCCAGGAGCTCAGCTCGGTAGCAGATACCGTCCAGAAGCTTCAGTTCTCGTCAAACGAGTTGACAACCGGCAACATGTGGAAGAGGTTCAAGTCCTTCCTTGACGAGAAGAGTTTGGACATGATCAGCGCCCAGGTTACCCGGCACGCTGCGAGCCTCAGCTTGCGACTGAACATCATATCAAGGTTAGTTTACCCGCAATACCGTTATGCCTGGACTATCTCTATTGTGTCTTACAAGCTCAAGCAATGACTTATCGAGGAGCTAGCGACATGGCCTACGATTCGAAGAAAAGCGACGTTCAATTGTGCCAAACGATGAAAGCTATTGGCCGCATCATACAGAAACAAATAGACCTACAAGCTTCCAACATCGATGATCTCGGACGAAGTCTGCAAACCACTCTGGAATCCCATGGATTCTTATAGACCATGAACTTCAACAATTTCGGAGACAGCCTGCACATGGCGCTGAAGTCACAAGAAGAGATCGTACGCAGTGGTATAAGTTCGGTCCATGAGGCTATCATGACCATGTCGTCTGTTTCATCACCGGACACACGTGCCATGCTCGATATGGTCCGCGATATCAAGGGTCTTCTGATAGATACATCATCACGAAAGAACGGCCATTCAACGGAAATAGTGGGTGGTTCAGCATCACCTCAGAGTGACATAAGTGCCGACGATGGATTGACTCAGAGCATCGAAAGACTATCTGGCCTGATACACGAGAAGGATAGAGCTGTCGACACCTTCGCTGATGCTGACCCACAAGCCGAGAACATCATTCAGGATCTCCGGGCCATCCTGGATTCGGCCTGGAAGCAAGGGCACATTATACGCCAGATCCGCGATGTGTCAGCAGGTCTCACAAATAGCACTATCAACCAGATAGAAGCCCGTTCAGAACTGCAAAGATCCGGTCGCGATTTCGGGCAGCTTGAGCTGGTCGTGAATCCAAGAAGTCAGTCGGCACAGAAGCGCCCACACGTCAGAATCACACATAAATCGCATACGCACACCGCGCTCGACATCCCCCTTAGCACAGTATCTCACAGGGTGAGAAAACTCGTTGGATCATTGAGCACCGCGGAACGCGATCACAAACGGTCGAAAATGGCAAGGGTAGAACATGCGATAACAGTATCATTCCTACCCAATGACCCGAAGAAACACCACATGATTGTGGCATCTACAATCCAAGAGAGATTCAGGGGTACTGTATCTTCCATCTCAAGACTGACAATACATAAAGTCCTGCCTGCAGGGTCCCCTGTGTTTAAGTTGGTCCACGAAGGGCGGTTACGCGAGCTTCGGGAGATGATGGATCGAAATGAGGCCTCTCTCCACGATCATGATGAATATGGAGCGTCGCTCTTGTTTGTGAGTGGCCCTGCTATACCAAATACACCCAGCCCTCGCAAGTCTCCGTACGCCCATGTTGATAATCTTTCATATTGACCATGGCATATTTTCAAATACCGGAATAAGCATACAGGAACAAGCAGCTTTGGTTCGACACGTTACTTTTGATGCTCCTTCCAGTGTGCTTATTCCAATTCGATGAATATACCGTCGTACGCTGGACGGGTGGTGTACGGAGACTTATGAGGGTCCAGTGTAGGAGGATCCCTAGGTTGGGAACGCTGCTTACACCACATACCCAAGTATGCAACTCAGCAACCGGAGATGTGCAAGTTTCTGCTCACCAATGGGTTAGATGCTGACCAGGTAGCGGGGACTCGGGGCATCGGCAACATCTTCTTTAGCGACGATGACAACTTCATATTGTACGATCAACACTTTTGACTTCGCGCTAAACCCCCATCCACAGAAAGATAAGAGAAAGGAAAGTAGATTGCAAACGTACTGACTATTACGTAGGTGCCTTTTGCAATTAGAGACAAAGCGTGGGCTTTGTGAAACAACCAATGTTGAGCAACTATCCAGGTGGAATCGGTGCCGCAGGCTTCTTCTGGACGCAGGTGCCGATCCTATGGTTTCCATTGATCAAAATTGTCGCCCTTTCCTGGAGGAGGTTATCTCCGGTGGCAATGGGGTTTGTTCAGTAATAGACACGGCGTCGAAACAACAGTCTAACGATCTCGCAGGTGTCCCTTCGGTTGGCTTGGCATCCAGATTCAGTTGGATATTTCGCTCATATCAACGAGTTCAAGTGCGCGGATGGCTTGCCGCCTTTCCTCCGAGTATGTAGTAATGAAGATAAAGGGTACACCAAGGACGCCCTCGGCGCGCTGCTGGATTCGGGTGCAGATATACATGCCCGCGATCATCATGGGGAAACATGCCTGCACCTCTGCCTGTACAACCTGAATGTGACATATAGTGCAGCCTCAAACGGAGGGGACTACAGTGCGATCAAATTTCTTGTTGAAAAAGGGGCTGATGTCAACGCCCGCAATGCGGCGGACGAACACCCTCGGATATTGTCTATACAGTAGTCGAACCTGGGCATAAGGATCCATGAGTCGACTTTGGCAGTTACGCCGGCAACCTCTGGGATGCAGTACTGCAGAGCTGTGGGTATTATATTGCTGAGTTCCGCCACGGATATCAGCGCAAGGCGAGATATACCTGCTATTACAGTCGCAAAGACTTCGAGGCCCTTTGGAAAGGCAGGGAGGCTCACTGTCCATACTGGGAGGACACGCTATGGCCGCCGAAAGGGACGTGTGATATCGAGTCCGATAGCCCAGACGCAGATGGTTGTCATTGTCGTCATTGTGAAGAAAGAGGATGAAGGTGACGAGGGCGGAACACAAGAGCAGGAACAAGGTGACCAGTGTTCAGAGATCGTGAAAAGTATTATGGATGAGCCCGAAATCACGAAGCACGATGCCGTACATCAATCAAGGGACTGGGAAGACGCTGTCTGGAAGCAAAAAGTATATCATTGGAGAGACCATCTACTTCAAGAGAATATGGGCACTCTGGGGTCACCAGAGACGGCTGAGGATATCTTCGAAAATCCCTGGCGTTGGGAACCTAGTAGTTGAGGGTCAGTACCGCGTTTCTGGTAAATTTATCAATGAGACTGGGCATGTTGCTACAGTACCTCCCAAGGAGTCAGTAACGTGAATGCGAAGATCAACGAGTGTTTTCCACCCTTTACCAAGAAGGGAGGCTAAATTATTTCAGATACATGGCCGACATGATAGTCACAGGTCCAGCGCCTGAGATGTCTGACAGCAGGTTGAGGCAAGTATCCAGGCGCGATAAGTGACAGCGTCCATAAGATCATGTCCCATACGTCAGAGGCCAGGGTAACGGGCTACTCGGCCCCCGTCGGTGCCGGCTTCGAGCTCATCTTCCAGGCCGGTTATACGGTGTGCTCGGTGATCCTGCCCGCGGAGGAGCGGCTCGACTCGGCGGCGCTGCCGAATATAGCCCAGCTCGGCGCTATCGTGCTGTCGCTTTCTGTCTCTAGCGCCGTGTACCAGAATGTGGGAATCCAGCTGCTATGTGACGCCGTGGGCGACATGAAGTACACGAATGAGGAGCTTCGAATCTTACTCGAGAGCGCGGCGTCGCCTGCCCTTGCTTGCTCGGACCCGGCGCTTGCGGGGCTTGTGATTGAGTCGGTTACGAATGTTTCGGTGCGGTTCTGTTACATCGGTTCTCTTAGATCTTGCTTGCGGCTGGCGCGCTGTGCCTTGTCGTTGCTTGCTGCTTGAAGGTCGAGGCGTTACAGTTCAACAAACGCTTGAAGGAAGAGGTGATGAACGAGGTGGAGAACTGGGTGCCTGTCAGCGTGATTATCCGCGATGCAACCCATGGAATGATTTGACTTCGGGGTCTGCTCAGCGTGAAGCCGCCGTTTGGGTACTGGGTGAGGCTTGGCGAGAATAGGGGCTCGTGGGCGCTCACAAGCCAGACAGAAGACTAAGTCCAAATCACGAAACAAAAATAGCAAGATTTATATGAAATCAGATGTATTATTCCCTTACTCCCTAGGGATCCATGAAAATGCTATGAAATGCCGTAGGTAGTATGTGGCACAACCTGTGCTTGCTCGCCAACGAGCACGTACCCAGAAACCGGCCCAGTAGATGAACGTTGCCACGTTACAAAGAATCTTCGTGAATCAGAAGACAGTACCCATCGTGGGGCAACAGTCGTGTACAATGACAGCACCTGCCACCCAATAGCTTTCCCTCGGAAAGCACATTCTTCCGCCCATGGTATAGCCAGGAAAGTTCCGTAACCAGGGAAGATGCAGACAGCCAAGATGCTGTGATGAAATGAGATATGAAATACAAGCGCGACCGTCGCTGAGTCGCTCGCGAAATGGAAAGACAAGGACGCAGCAGGGTATCATGTCGATGAAGCAGTGTCGGATATCGCAGGTGCAAGATAAGCAATCAGGAAGAGATGGCATGTCGGAGAAGATCGGTCGGTCGCTCGGTTCGGAAATCGTCAATCTGGTTTCGTACCGGGCGCTGCGTCCTCACGCGCTTGCTTTCCAACACAATCCTCAGAACCAACACCAAAAGTCGAGAACACCACCCTGCCGGAATATATGAAGCGCCAGAGAGAACACCCCGGTCATCATCTCGCACTAGTACACCGAAGAAGTCAGCTTCAATCAAGGTAGACAGTTTCTGCCGCGTGACAAAGGGATGAACGGATGACTTACCCGCCTACTGCGCAGACGGCGCACAAGGGTCGACAGCAAAGTAGACCGTGACCGACTGCCAAGCAGCCCACTCCTCGGGCAGCATATCAGTGCGCTCCTTCTCCCGCGCGATCGACGTGCGCGCCGAGTCAGCCTGGCACCGAAAGCTGCCGAAGCGCCACTCCTGGCGCGTGCGCATGCCCTGGTGGCTCAGCGTGAAGACGCCCTCAAGCTCGTAGCTGAACTTGGAGTCGAAGAAGGGAACGAGGAACCGCTCGTTCACAATACAGTCGGGGCCCTCGATGTGCAGCACGCGGCTCTGGGGGCCCGGCTGGCGCGCGGCGGACCGGATGCGGTTGTGTCGCACCTGCGGAACGTACCAGCCGACGGTGAAGGCGCCCTCGCGAGCTTGTCGGAGTAGGTTCTTCGCACCTGACACGTCGAAGAAGACGAGCTTGCAGGCGGCTGTGATGTGGTTTTTGGACGCTTCCGGCGGGTTGATCACCGTTGCGTACACCTTGCCGCAGTTGCGCACCGCTGGCAGCAGCTTGTCGTACGTGCAGTCCGGCGGCAGGTTCGTAAGCCACAGCGCCGTGTTGAGCTCGTCGGGGATCGGCGCCGACTGGTTGGCCAACAGCCACGGGTTGCCGCGGTATCTGGTCGACGTGCCGTTCTGGAGGATCCGGATCTGCGCGCCTAGGAGCTGCTCGAGGGGGGACGGGACGGTGGGGTTGACGTTGTGCATCGGCAGGAAGCCGCCGTTCTCATGCGTCGTCGCGAGGCCGGCGTCGTGGGTCGTGTAGTGGCCGTGATTCAAGGGGCCACGGAGGGTCTGTCTCATCCGGGGCTGTCGGTAGGATAGTTGCGGTGGAGTGCGCTCCTCGACGGACGAGTAGTGGTAGGGGAAGCTTCTCCATCCGTCGGGCAGTGATATACCAAGTCGACCATCTGCGATACTGCTGTGGCTTTGGACATACGACCCGTTGTTGGTGCTGTGGGCTCGGACAGTCTCGTCGGTGCTGGCGCTGTTGACTTGGACAGACGCCTCAGTGTAGGTGCTGGGGGCTTCGAAAGACACATCGGTGTTGGAGCCGGTGGAGCTGCTGGAGGCATAGCGATTCGCGGTCGTATTACCATTGTTGTTGAAGGTGACATCCTGCTGAGCAGGCCACGGGTTCGGGTGCGGCATGACGACTAGTTGTTTCGTATTGTGTGTATGGGAAAGGGTTGAAGTATAGAGAGCGTTGAGCTGGGTGAGTGCAAGACTTGGACGGGTGCACAAGCAAGTCGGTGATGGTGATGGTGTGGGAAGAGGTTGAAGGAGAAGAAGAGGAACCGCCTCCAAATCCACCATTCTTAGCATTTATCTTGTAGACTCTCGCTGGACGAGGTATCCGGTCTCCATGGCACCTCAGAAGCGGGTGCAAGCAGTCAGTGCAGAATCAGGCTGACTCGAAGTCTGCTGTGGCGGGTGAGCCATTGTGTTGAGGCAGCCGTCGAGAAGCATCCGGCATTCACTGGCTGGCCACGTGCAGACTCAGCGAACTGCGAGACATCGGTCAATGGAGTGGCCGACAGGAGTCAAAGCGGCAGTGAATGTTGCACCCACCGCCAAAGGATGCAAGAAGCCCGTGCTATCGCTGCCAGAGCAATGCCTGAGAAGTCAGTTCTCAAGTGGATGATGATGGATTATCGGATTGTGGTGTGGCATAGTTACTCAAGTGATTGAGTCCGAGGCCTTTGTGGCAGAGGCTTCATTCTATACACAGATCTTCTAGAATCACTTCACTAGTTATCCTGGAACGAACAGACTGGAATGGAAGTGGATGTAGGTGTATTCGTTGAATCGCTCAAAAAGCCTATACGGAATTTCAGGAAGTCCAAACCAGGATGAGTTACGAACAGTGAGTTGAAGAAATTTCTCCCGACCTCAAGCACCATATGAGTTCAATGTCTGTGTATGACTAGGTTTCTGGCAGCGCGCAAACTGGTGACTCTGTGGCTGGTGAATGACCCAGAATAGAGGACTGAGAGTATTCATTCCCAAGGAGATATCACCAAGCCATCGGGTAACCCCAATCCCTGCCTAGACACTCACACCCATGCCTCAACTTTGCGGGTAACTGGGTTACGGGATGATTATTCGCATCTGTTTCAGATATTTCTATAGTCAAAGACGAGGGTCATTCACCTGTATAGGACCACTGATTCATGAGATTATATTCGTGAATCGTTTCCCCCAAAGGACCGATTTCCTTTTCTTTTCCAGTGACGACGAACCCTTTGCCCTATGGCTATCATTACATATTGTAGGTGGTCATTGACCTGCCTGAGGATATGCCTTGGGCCACAGAACCCCGATCACTGTCTGAAGACACCCTGTTCGCCCTCACTTGAGGCTCAACCTATTTATTGAGAGCGGTGGGGGTGATTAGGTGATTACCTTTATTTTCAAATGAGTTTCGAACAACTGAAGGGTGCGATGATCTTCGGGATTCCAACTTTCATGTTCCCCAAATGATACGGTTCGCGATAACTCCGAAAAGGGCACCCCTCTTAGCGCACCATCATAAGCCTGGCCCCCAAAGAGACAAGCGCAGCGACCTATCCAATGAGATCGTCCTTTACTAACACAACTGAAGACCTTCAGGCTCGCAAAGCCATGCGACGCGGAGCTGGATAGAATCAGAGCCCAGACACAGTACATGGCCACAGTGGGTACAGTGAGTCAGGGGTTGATGACTAATGCCAGGTATCCGTTGAGCAGGTCTGGGAGACCGTGATTGTATCAGCATTTCGGAAGGCCTGACATAGGGCAAAGAAATAGTTTCGACTTGTTCCAAGACTCAGCCGTAGATTCAGATACCTACGGTATTCTCCGCGCCTCTCGCACTACTAACTTACAGTATGAGTTACACAGTGTGGCACGGTCATGGGCTTACCCCTATCCGGGTTCCAATGAGAGAATTAGACCTCCGTAGCATTGCCAATCTAGACATGTACAGCCGCCTCTAGTACATGTGATACCTCGAAGGTCAATTCATTATGATCGCAGTCTAGACTGGACTGGACGCCTCCTCTGCCCAAGGTATTTTGCTCGTCGTAGACTTGAACCATGTCCGATGCATCGTCATCTGGTTCAAATGATGGCTGCTATGGTTGGCTGCGATGAAGGAGCGCTGTCGGACGGCTCCGGTATGACTGGGAGGTTAAAAATGAACTGATGGTTACCAATGTCTTCGTACATACTAGGGCTTTCATCACGTAGTTTACAGATCCTTTCAATCAATCCGTGCACCCTCAGGGCCGCAAATATTACCTCCCAAAATAAAAATTGCAAAGAGGCCATTCGAACTGAAGACCTCAAAAGAACAGTCCTTCGCCAAGATCAGCTCGTACTGCCGGAAAACTGACGGCTAGCTCATCTAGACTAGTCATTCCGTTCGTTTATCCTGGCGACTAATTTACCGCGCACCTTTCAGTGGGGGAATGTCAGATGCTAATTTTTGCTCACATTAGGATCTATATCCCCCACCCTTCATCCCCGGGGTTACCAATTATAGATGCGTCCACAATGCCACTAGCAATCCTGAGGTACCTACCCACCCAAGGCCTCTGCGAACCCAACAGTGGCACATGGAGTGCCTTTGTCATCGGTTTTGCAAGGAACTTTCAAGAAAGTGATGGGAATCCTGCCCCATGGTCAGGTTCATCTGTCGCGTGGTTGCAGGTAGTGTTGGAATTAGGACTTGCTCTCCCCTTCGCTGGTCACAGCGCCAAAGTTCAGTATTATTTTCTTCTCAGTCACTAGATGCTTGATTTGTAAACATGTAGCCCACACTGAATACAACAGCATATCTGTTTCCCACCCTCTATCGGATATGGCAAGCTTGTACCTTGATGTAAGCCTATAGATGACAGGCTTTGACATCATATGGACCGATGGATTTATGAATCCATCCGAAGCACAACTGGGGATGCAGATATGATAGAGCTTCTTGGAAGGCAGACGTGGAATGCCATACTACATGTAACTAGGTCCTACCAGCACATGTCGAGGTACTAGGGCTACATATCTCACAAGAAGCTGAAGCGATCAATCTGAGGGATTGCTATGCCAATCGTGGGAAAACTTCAGCATCTTCTGGGCAGCGGCCTCAGGCGAACAATGCTGCTGATCAGGCACGAATCCGCCTCTCTGCATCAGATTGAACATTGCAAGATACAGCCGAAGAAGCCAAGCCTGGAATATGCTGCTCAAATAAATCTATAAGGGCATTGTAGTCATGCAAGTAGTGCACAACTGTGGTCGATGGGACCAGGAAGTCGGTCAGCAGTAGCCAGCTCCAGGTCGAGAAAGCCAGCATCAAGTGAGCACCCAGCATAGAAGCAGTGCAATGAGTGCTGATCTCGTCTAGCTATAGGTAGCTGGAGAGGTTGTGACTCAAGCACAGAAGTAAGGCAATCATGCCCTTTCCGTCCGAACCACCCCCACCCTGCACCGCTTAACCCGCGATCCACCCCTTTTCATCCCAACTCATCAAAACCTCCACGCCTTGGATTTTGATTGTTTTGGTTTTTAATACCTGCACCCATGTGTGCCCTTTTCCCTATATTAGGCGAATTGGATTGTAGCACAGAATCGGACAGGATAGTCAGTCCACAAGGTATTTCTTCATGATCGTCAATATTGGTCGATTGCCGGGCACATGTCGTTCCCCCAGACACCTCACCTACACCAGCTCCTACAACTCCCGCTCTGTCTCTCCACTTTGGCCTGCGCCAACATCCGCTGACATCCCTTTGACGAAGTGAACACACACTGCACCGCTTGGCAATTGCCCCTTATCATTGCCGACCTGCCCTTCTGCCTGCAGCTTGATCTCGGACTGGAGGTCATTGAGCCCGTTCAGCTGAGTCGTCCTCGGTACGCAATCAATTGTTGCATCCACTGGCTACATTTCTAATTGACACCAAGATATACTCTGCGATCGTGCATTGGGATTCAAGCTCGTCGGATACATCGCGCCCGGATGCGACAAAGGCGCTGTCGGTCCACTGTCCACAATCGCGACGCGCCGCATCAACATCAGTCTCCAAAGCAACAACTCGCGTGCAAGCCCTAACACCTCCGCTACACGAGAGGACCATCTGCAATTCATCCAGTCATTATCGATACATTCACCTGGTCATTGGGGTGCAATAGCTCGTGTCGGTTTCTACTGCAGACACCAATCCCTTCTCGCTCCCACCACACACAAACAGCAACCCGCACCTCACCTTGTCATCTCACTGGCCACAACAAAACTTCTTTGCCGTCGTCTGACCATTAGGTGTTGCAGATCACCCATTCCGCTTCCCCTTTTTTGTCGTCGCATCTGTCTCAGGCTTTTGCACTTCCGATTGTCTATATTGCGCATCTGCGACATTGACATTACGATTCACGAGGTCAACTCCATCCGCTACCGTCAGCACAACCAGCTACAGCAGCTGCGAAACCGGCAAGATGTGCGAGATTGAGTACCACATCTGCCAGCGCTGCTACCATGGGCACCCGCGCGTCACAAACAGGTGCCCGGCAATACATCCTCCTCAGCTCCACTGCCCGAGGTCAACAAAGTTCCACTTCCTTACCGTAGAGCCGGAACGATGCTACTTGTACCCATATCACGCCGCCCCTATCCCCCGAGACTATACAGCATACGTCAAGAGAAAGTGGAAAAGCTCGTTTCAGAAGGACCGCCGACACTCTACGCCGGCTGCCCTGCAAGAATCTCAAATGGCTACCTGGGCCTCGGCTGCGCACGAATCTGGCTCGAACTTTCACAAAGTGCCGATATATGCGCCTGAAGCCTTCTACCAGCATCACGGTCACGGCAGTGGAGCGACCTACGAGAGTAGTCAGCCTCGTCATCATATGGCTAATCATCCCGGACAAGAGGACGGCCCACCGTATGCATTCTATCCTCACCAGGCGGCTCCCATGCCCCCATTCGTCAGTCCGGGACCGAAATATGGACTACCAACAAACGCGGTCTATATGCCCCCGATCAATGAGTTGAAGCCGACGCCCGATCCGTATGCCTCTGCCTCGATACGGTTTGAAGGCCGGGTGCTGAACTTCAACCCGAATGCCTCCACGTTCGAACCCCAGGGGAGAGAACACAGGCTTGCGGCAGACATGGTCAGAGACATCCAGCGACAGGAAACCCTCCGAGCCCTTGACGAGTCTAGCAGGGCTGCATACTATACCGACAAGCATGGCACCGGCCATAGTGAGGGTGGTGATGATGAGACCCAAACAACAGGGACCTCAACTGGTTCTTCAACACCCAAGGCAAGCAGGCTCACATCGAGGATATTCAATGCGGACGACCTGGATTTTCATGCTGCGGATGACATCGATTCGACTGGAGAACATCCAACCAAGCCTGATGTCAAAGGAAAACAGAGAGAGATCGTCGAGCCGAGAGAAACTGTCGAGTCCACAGACGCCGTTCAGCCCACAGAGAACGTCGAGCCCATGGAGACCACCGAGCCCACAGACATGATTGAGCCCACAGACATGATTGAGCCCACAGACATGATTGAGCCCACAGAGACGATTGGGCCTGGCCAGACAGTCGAGCCTGAAAGGGCTGACGAGCCTACAGAGACTCCCTCTTCTGACATCCACGAACACTCCAAGGACGCTGGTTCTGGAGACAAGACCGAAGAAGCCGAGGCCGAGGCCGAGACCGCCAAAATCACCAGTGAGATCAGATCTGCCAAAGAAGCCACCGAGGAGACTGCCAGTGACGTCGAAGATGCTGAGATCTTCAACGAGACCGAAGCTGTCGCCGATACCGAAGCTGTCGACAATGGTGGTATCGACAATGTTAGTATCAAGACCGACAGTGCCGACAACGACGGCAATACTGCTCTTACTGCCGATACAGCAACTCCAACCCCTATGAGCGAGAGTCAGCTGGGCGAGGAGCTCCTCGATGAAGTTGAGCATAACGTTGCAGAGGAGGTCACGATGTCACCCTATGCCATTGGAACTGGAATCTCCTGGAGCTGGAGCGACGAGGTCGAAGAGGCCCTGGAGAATGGCGAACTGGAGATGCAGCATCAGCCGGACGTGGACAAGGCAGAGTCTGATACTGGGGACGGACGGAGTGCTGCAGATGTCGAGAGCCATTCCGACACGGAAGAGCCAGAAGCGCACGACATTGCTCGCTCTATTAAGGAAGAGCCTGACAACGATGAGTCCGAGACGACCGATGCGCTTCCTACACATCATGTGAAGAACGAGCTAAGTGAGGAAGATATCAACTTGGAGGAAGAGATCAAGTCGGAGGAAGAGATCAAGCTGGAGGATATCCCCCTGTACCCAGGCAACGCAGAGACCCCAGACGAGGAGGTTTCCAAAATTACCGAGGATCATACTCCCCTACGTATCGAGGACCAGCTCAGTGAGGACAAGGTAAAGCTGAGTGACATCCCTCTTCACCTTGGCGTCAAGGAAACCATGGTGGAGGAGCAAGAGGAGCATGGGGACGAACCTAAGCCAGAGGAGCATGGGGACGAAGCTGAGCCAGTGGAGGCCAAAGACGAGAACAAAGACGAGGCTCACCAGGATGCTCACCAGGATACCGAAAGCACTGTTGAACACATCGAAAAGGAGTCTGAGACGACGGACAACAAGACGGAGACGACCCAGCAGCCCAAAGCAGACGTGACCAAGGAAACCGAGAAAGACTCAAAGGCAGCTGACGATCAGAGGAAGGAGAATAACAAGGGCAAGGGCAAGATCAAGGCAAAGGACGTAAAGCCGGTCTTCGACCGTGAGAGGGACTTTCCAGCACTGGGTGGAACGGCCGTGACGACTGCAGAGCATCGGAGCCCCTTGCCATCGGTCTGGGCCTCCAAGCCGAAAATCCCTGCGTACCGTACTCCCCTTCCGCCGAGCCCCAAGAAGACTCGAACACCCGCGCCCCAAAGTGCAAAGGTCCAAGGACCGGTCCAGCCATCCTGGAGCAATATCGCTGCTGGTAGATGTGCGCCACCTGCAAAGGCGATGTCTCCCTCGGGTCCGGCGGATAGTGCTAGCGAGGGCGCGTCCACCCCTAGGCCCAATACCGGCAAGGGTGAACACTCTCCCAAGAAGTCTGTGTCCAGTCCCAAGTTTGAGCAGAGGCGCAAGAAACCGCAACCGGATGTGGAGAGGACCTCATCGTCCATCCCCGCAGGCGGCAACACTGGCGACGAGGCATCAACCCGGAGACGTGTCACGCCGCCCACTCCGGTCAACGCCAAATTGGCCAAGCGAGGTGTAGGCAGGGGCACACCATCGTCAGCGTCAAAGTCGGCATCTCCGCCAAACCCCGAACACCTTCCAACCGCCTGGAACAGAACCGCCTCAATATCATCCACCACGGAAGCAGAGGTTGGAACTGCATTTCTATCCAGCCAGAAGGAAGGCGAGAGCGTTAGATCCGACGACTCAATTGCAGCCACGGAGGCGACCTCACAAAGCAACATCAGAGACGATCAACGCGAGTACATCACTACCGCACAGTCGCCCAGGCCGCGCCTCTGGAGCCAGCTCATTGGCGGTACGGGTACGCCGAGGTTCAGATCTGGTTCCTTGACTTTGACCGACAACAGTAATACCGATACTGCCAAGAAGGGCGAGGAGGAGGCGTGGCCTTCGCTGGGTGCGGCGGCTACCGGTCCTGCCGGCAGCAGCGAGAGCGGTCAGGGAGGCAAGAAGCGGAATGCCACCTAGTTTGCCTGCTGCCGCTGGAAGGGGCGATGGAGGCGTGACGATGCACTGAACGACCCATTCGCCTCCAATGTCTCTGCGCACCCGTATTCCAGCAGGGAATCGACTACATATTTACCACTCAACAAGGGCTTACTAGAAGCTCCCACGATCTCACAGTATACTGCGCTTCATATCTTCTTTTTTCTTTCATTTCGCTTTCCTTTTATACCCGGTACACGGGAGATAACGAACCTGCATCTGCAATGAGGCTCCATCCTGCATCGCTTCTTTGACGACGACTAGAGGTGACGGCGGTGTTCTGCTGCCTCGCGAATTGTCTCCGCTGGGATATGCGACGGTGCTACTGCCGCTTCCATACATTCCATGCATTTGCTCATGCTTTTCTTTCGATGGATTTTCGCGACGATCAACGAGACGACGAGGAACAACTGCGATGCGTTACGAAACAAGACAGGGATACAGAACGAGAAGTTGCATACCCAAAAAAAATTAGGAGAAGGGGGGTTCGATCTGGTGATGATGGTGGCCCATATCTCTCTCAGGCTCTGGTCTGATCGGAGATAGGTGACTCGCTGGTCATATGCTGAGGTGTAAAAGTAATGTCTGATGTACTATAGCTTGAGACACTGAGGTTCTCGTAACGGATACCAGAATCAAAAGCAATTTCGGCCGACCGTGAGCTCATCCGCAGCAGAGTGCGGTATCATGAGTAAAGTGAAGCTGTGAAGGGCTGCAGTTCAGTTAGGCTTCCAGGTTAGTGGTGCTGAAGTGACAGGTGGTGACATTGGCAAGTCAATGTTCCAAAGAACATCCTACCGCGTCAAATAGAAAGGTAGGCATGTTGCCGAGGAGAACCATTGAAAGGGCCTTGGAACAGAGGAGCTTACCCAAAGCCCAAGCATCATCATGGGAAAGCATATGGGGGACACATCGTCGCACTATGTGGGACCTGTCATGGAGCGGCATCTCCCACCGAGTGGTGGGCGGGCTTGATGGTGGGTGTGTTTCTCTCAATGGTGACAAGAAACCCGATTGAGTCGGATCCGGGATTCGGGACATGGCGCAGGATATTCGCCGCTGGTTCGTAGAGGTGAGTCAGGGAGGAAAACCCCATACGGAATAGTATGAAGACCGCCGTATGCGGCGAAACATCCGCAACACATGGAGATAGGCTTCATGACAGCCTCTCTATATTTGTTAGGGACAGACGTTGGACCTGTTGGACCTGTTGCTCCTTATTACAGTTTCAGTATAGCGCCTGGCCTCACGGTCCGTCTGACGGCAACGGCCGCTAGAGGTAGTTCGGGCAGCACCCGAAGCATTACTCGCGTGCGATGGACGTGCACATGGGAAGCAAGTCGAAATCGGGACTACCGGAGATCCTCACCGGAGAGGTTACAGGTGACAGGGCACCCGAGGCAATGGGTGCCCGATAGGACTGCGGCTGTGAAGCCGCGGTCAGCTTTTACTACGATAGATATGGGAGAGAGTAGAAGAGCGCGGGAAGCACGTGAAGGGTACCTCGTGCTACTCAGCCGCCAAGAGTTTTCGAGGGCAGCATCGAAAACGGCTGTCAGCTAGCCTCTTCTCATTGGGCGAACTGACACGGAGGTAGGTCCGATGCCAGAGTGTCGACGACAGGACCAGCTGTCGGGCATCTGCAATCGAATGGACGAGAACTGTCGAGAACTGTCAAGAGCCGGCACGCAGGCGCTGGCACTGCATTACTCAGCTCGAAGGAAAGGTCTGACAAACAGGGTAAGGCCTGGAGCTGCAGTACTGACTGGCTGCAGCCCATAAGTGGGCCAGGAGCAAAGGCTCCGGCTCACTCACCCTTCCAAGATATAGTTGGATCAACCACTCACACACACAATTATGGTAGGTAGACAGGTAATCGACGTTACCTACGATATTCAGCAGTCAGATATGAGTATCGCCTTTCCTGTTACACCGTGTCTCAAACTCTGCAGTCACCACACGAGCTTCCGCCTCTCGTCTACTACTGGTGGCGTCCAGGCTATGTGACAATCGGTCCTTTTGACGACATCTCTGTTTCTTTTGCTGTCCCGCATTGATGGGTGAGGAAGCCACAGCAGCAACTCTATATCAGCCACACTCATACGAGTGTTATGCCGCCTCAACAGTCGTCGAATCCAGCGTTCTGCCAGGGACCTCTAACAAAACGAAACTCCCTCCCTCCCGTCCATTCGGTCCGGTCTCAGTCCACGGTTTTAATGTGCACTGAGCGCCTGTCAGAATGCCCAGTCTGCGGAAAAGATTACCTCGTCTATGTCGAATTCTGCCCAGCCTACCATCCACCACTGCTGCACTGCCCAAGAGGGGTGACCGAGGAGAAGGACGACATGCAAGAAGGGCGCTGTCCGAGTCCCGTGTGTCCATATAGCCGGACAGGGGGCTGCCATGTCAGTTAATCCCGAAGAATATCGTCTTCAACAGACCGAAACTTCCAATTTGATGAACTACTCTTTTGAACCGGAGACCACGGCATTTAGAGCTTTTCGGTTCCGTTACCGACCTCGACAAACTGGTCGAGCCCTTGGTAGTCCGGAACCTCGAAGTCGTACTTCTCGGCGATCGATGGGGAGACGAACCTGCTGGTATGTCAGCCCCGGAGAATACATCAGCTCAGAAACGATACGTTACACACCGTCCACCGATAAAGTGTCGACTCTTGAAGTGCTTGACGAGAGGCTTGGGCGCGGTGAGGCTGATCAGGAAATCAGGGTTATATTTGCTGCCGACACCGGATACTGGGGGGCCGTCCTCGATGTTCCAGGAGGACGGGGCGTCGACAGCAGTGACGGGAAGCTTGGTCTCCTCAAGAGCCTTGATCACAGCGGGAAAGGGCTCGCGAACCTCGCCCGAGAATCTGAAGCCTTCGCCCGAATAAGCCGACAGTTTCATTGGTATACGACGGGGAACCTACCGAAAACAGCATCCACGATGTGATCCGTCGACTTCACGGCTGAAGGGAAGTCGTCCACAAACGGCACCTTGAGGTCCTCCAGTTGCTTGGCGAGTCGCTGTGAAAGGTACAGCCATAAGCAAATCGATATCGAACATGGGAAAGGGGGTGGAATCGACTTGAATGGACATGGGCGGGCCTAGGGCGATGGGCTAGGTGGATATACCACGGGCGGCATGATGGGGCATAGAACGGAATAGACCAGCACGGATAATGCTGAGTAATTCTGGGATAGGGGGCCAGGTTCAGCATACCTGGTAAAGATCATTCTTGCTTCTCTTTGGATAGTAGATGGATGGCTGGTACCCGTAATGGAAAAGGTGTCGAGCGGCAACAAGCCCATCGCCGCCTACGTATCTTAGCCGCCACCACAAACATAATGGACTATGGTCTCCCACTCACCGTTGTTTCCCGGGCCACAAGCCACGAGTATACGCTTGCCCTTGTTCAACGGATGGACCCGGTAGACTGGATGAACGTGTAAATAAGTGCGCAATTCACGGTACCAATGTAGGGCTTGCAGTACATACCGACTTGTGACACTGATAGCCCAGCAAGTTCCATAAGCTGGTCAATCGAGAAAGCACCGGTGCTCATGAGCTCCTGGTCAAGTGCGGCGGCCGCTTTGGCCGAGAGTGTCTGCGACGTGTGTAAGTCAGAGCAGTAACCTGAGTAGGCAGCTTCCCAGCTTACCTTGAACGCCATGTTGTTTCCCTACTGACTGGCAGGAAATTAGGGGACGGGAATAGACGCAGAACAGTAAAATGGGTGAATCGACGGAGGAATAGTCGAACTTCAGATTATGACGAAGTGGTGGTGCTTGGAGCGTTGACATCACTGATGCATGTGCTGCATGCATCCAACGCACTGTGCATGTGGCTATCACCCGCGTCAGCCACATAGACCACACCAGCCACACTGGCTACACCCGACTGAGCCCCATGGGCGGCCGGGCCAAAATCATCGAAGTGAATCCATCCCGGCCCGTTGATCGGAAACGCTTCAAGAATCAACCTCGCGACCTATCTCACCCTCGACACAGCCCGTCAGTGACAATGGTAGTGAAGATCCGACTGGCGCGCTTCGGGCGCCAGAACTCGCCCTTCTACAACATAGTCGTAGCACATGCAAGGTGAGCACAAATCTCCATCTCCTTCCCCATCAGACAAACCATCGCGCGCAACCAAGGAGCCAACTCAAACTGACAACTCCTTACCCTCCACCAGAACGGCGCGAAACAGCAGACCACTCGAGGTAATCGGCACCTACGACCCGATCCCGAAGCCCGAACCCTACGACGACTCGGGCAAGCTGCACAAGGACATCAAGCTGGACACGATAAGGGCGCGGTACTGGATCGGTGTCGGGGCGCAGCCGACGGATACCGTATGGAGGCTTTTGTCGATGGTACAAGCTTCCTTCCCCCAGCAAGCAGAGTTTCTTCTCTGTGGTAGTGTTGGTGTGGATTGTGTTGGTCGATGCTGACGTTTGGTGTGTGCTTGTAGCTGGGAATCATGGAGCCGAAATACAGAGATACCGAGCCGAGGACGCCGCCGCCTATGCCGCCTTCGGTCCAGGGCACTGCGAACCCGCAATAGACTACACTGTTACAAATACTTGTATAAAGCATTCACGGGCGTCAATCATTGCATTAGGCGAGATGTACGATACGGGATTGGCGGGTGAAGAGGTTCGACCGTTTATACGCCACGTGAAGACCCCTGGAGAGAGGATAGGGGTCCGTCTGATGGGTGGAACGAGCCTCGAGGAGGCCTTGAACAAATCCTCGACGAAGCCCGAGCTCATGAAGAACTCGATCATGTCGGCAGTATATTGTTGTGTACAGCCATTTGTGTAAGAAGTCTACAACCGAAGGACCCACGCGTATGTTACGCCTGCGATGATGATAGTATGGCATCTAGCAGGCTATCAATTGGAACAAATGACAAAACCTTTGCTTCGCAGGACCTTGACATATTATTGATGCTTGAATATGCCATTGAATCTTGGCCATAGTCAAGGTGAATCAGGGGCACATATGTCGAGTACAAGATATGGACGGACTCGTTCCTTGTTTCAAACTCAATAGCAACGCATAGTGGCATTGCGCCTCCAGACTCGGTAAGTCTACCAATCCCTCTTACACCTCACCAAAATGCAGATCGCGAACATCTACTCAGTAACGCCATCCTCTTCAAACACAACCAAAACCGTGCCCGCTTTGCATTTGTCCTATTATCATATCAGCACAGTGTATACCCGCAACCGATTGCATTTTACTTACGCCCTCCTTATGCGCCAGCCGCTTAATAACACCGTCCTGCGGTGAGCGGATGACTGTCTCCATCTTCATGGACTCAATCCTACTCCAAGTCAGCAACTCTCCACACTAGACTCGAAGTTCGGGTGGCACTTACACTACTAACGGCGCGCCCTTGGCAACCTTGTCGCCCTCCTTGACTTCGTTCTTCAGGATCTTGCACGGCATAGGAGCCGCCACCGACGCCGTCACCTCCTTCAAGCCCAGCGCTTTCTCGTACCACGTCGGAGACACCAGGGACAGTTCCGTCTTGGCGCCGTGCTGGAACACGGTGATCTTGTTGTCGCTGTTGGGATCCTGCACCACAGTCGTTTCGACCCTCGCTTCCGCGAAAAAGGTGGTGAGGCTGGTCTTCTCCGATATAGATATGGGTGAGGAGACGAGGTCTTCGAACGTCTGAGCCTCTTCGCCTTTGCGGCTGACCGAGGCGTCAAAGAGCTGATTGCCCTTCTGGGCGATGGTGACTTCTACCACTTCACCCTCCTTCTCATCCAGGACGTCCAAGGATTTGAAGAAGAATTTCCTCTCGCTCCCGTTCTGACCAAACCCAAGAGATCCCCCGTGCGGACCGTCGAAAGTGGCCGGTTGTGAGGCCGATACGCCGAGCGCCGCTTGTACGTACACTTCGGGCTTTACTACCACGGGGTCGAAAAGCTCATGCTTCCATTTGTCAATGAACCCTGTCTCCACATCGCCTTCAATGAATGCCGGTGACCTGCATAGACGTTTCAGGAATTCGATATTGGTGCTCAAACCGACCACTTCATAGTCACGTAGAGCGAGCTCCATCTTGCGGATTGCGGTTTCGCGATCCTTACCTCTGACGATCAGCTTCGCAATCATGCCATCGTATGCTTCCGTGACCGTATCGCCTTCCACAAAACCAGCATCTATCCGGATATCATCGTCGGTCTTGGGCGTGGTCAGGTGTACGAGCTTCCCGGAATCGGGCATGAAGCCTCGCTCAGGGCTTTCGGCGTATATCCTCGCTTCAATCGCCGCCCCCCTCTCTTTTATCCTCTCCATGATTTCCTCCTGGGTCAGGGGCAACTTCTCCCCAGCGGCAACTCGGAACTGCCATTCCACCAGATCCGTACCGGTGACCATCTCACTCACAGGGTGCTCAACCTGCAGTCTGGTGTTCATCTCCATGAAGAAGAACTCGCCCGTGTCCTTGTCAAGGATAAACTCAACCGTGCCCGCGCCAACATAACCCACCGCCAAAGTCGCCGTCCGAGCCTTCTCCCACAAATCAAGCCTCGTCGCCTCATCCAAGTCCGGCGCCGGCGACTCCTCGAGAATCTTCTGATGCCGCCTCTGCACACTACAGTCCCGCTCGCCCAACGCAACGCAGTTCCCCAGCTCATCGGCGAAAACCTGCACCTCGACATGCCGCGGCCGCACCACATACCTCTCGACAAGCATGACCTCGCCGCCCTCCCCAAACGACGCCCTCGCCTCAGCCCGCGCGCTCTTGAGCTGCTGCACGAACTCGCCCTCCTCCAGCACGATGCGCATGCCCTTGCCCCCGCCCCCCTTGACGCTCTTCAGCAGCACCGGAAACGCGATCTCGCGCGCATGCGCCAGCAGCTCGGCCTCGCCCTGATCACTCCCATGGTACCCGGGCACGCACGGGACCCCCGCACGGGTCATGATCTCCTTGCTGCGCGCCTTGTCGCCCATGTCGGCCATGGCGCGCGCGGGCGGCCCCACGAACACGATGCCCTCGTCCTCGCAGCGGCGCGCGAACGCCGCGTTCTCGGACAGGAACCCGTACCCCGGGTGCAGCGCCTGGATGCCGTGCGCCTTGGCCAGCTGCACGATGCGCTCGCCGTCCAGGTAGCCGCTCGCGGCGCCCAGGCCGATGGCGTGGGGCGAGCAGGCCGCATGCTGCGAGCTGGCGTCCGGGTCCGTGTAGAGGGTTGTGGTCTGGATGCCGAGACGGGCGGCGGTCTTGTTGATCCGGAGCGCGATCTCGCCCCGGTTGGCTATGAGGAGCGAGGTGATGGGCGTGATCTGAGGGGCTGCGGAAGGGCTGGAGGAGAGGTGGCGCGGGATGGGGTGCCGGCGGAGGTGTCTGGGCTTGATGGACCGCATGATGAATGAATTTGGGATCTCACTTCTCAATTGGGCTCATAAAAATGGTGAAAATGTGAATTCATTACATTGTCATCTATGAAGACTGTGAGGGAAGCAAACTCTAGGCTTGATCCGTGTCAGCTGTCTCATTCCACTGAGGTCAACGGGGAGAGAGGCCGCGAGTAAGCGGGCAGATGCCGCTCAAAGCCGCTGCCCGCCTGCCCGCCTACACAGGGGAGAGTGGCCCGAGCTCCAGCTACCGTTAGCTAGCGTCATAGCTCCCCAGACTGCCAGATCTAGCTCGCGATCGACCCCTCCAAAGTGGGAGCGGTAATGTTCCTAAAACAACTTCACCCACTTCACATGTTTGTCTGCTGCCTCAAATTTACACAGGTACCTACTTTACAAGCTTCATCGAATAGAAGCTACCTTGATTGACGGACACACGCCAATGGACCAGATAGCCCTCCACCACGAAGCCTCGGCCGGTGACACGAACCGGCAGGTCGTCAACCAGCTGCCGCCAGAGGTCGTTCAATGTCTAGAGAATGCTCGCTTCGTAAGCCTGTGCCAAACTGCCTTGTCGTTTGTCCTCGTCCTGCTGGATGCCCCACGCTGACCTGTCTTGCTTCGATCTGGGTAGCTTAACCTGGCGACCTGCACCAACAACCAGCCCACCGTGTCGCTGATGAACTTCACGTATCTCCCTTCATCGCAGTACTCGCCCGAGCCGGTCATCGTCATGACGACGAACTCGTCCTCCAAGAAGACGCACAACATAGTGGCCAACCCCAACGTCTCCCTGCTCGTGCACGACTGTACGTGTTCCCAGACGACGAGCATATAGATATGCAGCGAGTATGTCGCAGCAGGCTGACGCGTCTCAGGGGTATCCCACCGGCCCCCGACTCAGACCCGCCGACCCTCAGGCGGCTCGCCGGGCCCCGAGCACCGGTCCAGCCTCGCCTCGGTGCTCATGAACCTCAACAGCGGCGAGATCTCGCGGATCAGCGCGACAATAAACGGGACGGCCGAGCTTGTGGCGCAGGGATCGGACGAGGAGAAGTTCTTCCGCGAACAGCACCTCGAGAACAACACGTTCGACACGGAGGCTTCGACGATGCCGTTTGGTAGCCGCCAGCTGCAGGCTGAGCAGGGGGCGGGCCAGGATGACGGCGGCCGCGAGAGCTTCATTGCCGGCGAGGAGGTCCGGGTCATTGTGGTGCGTATCAAGGACATTCGAACTAGCGACTGGAAGGGCGGTGTCAGTGATTGGGTCTTGGTGAATGAGGGCGTACCGGCTGCGGTCAACGGCGTGAAGTGAAGGATTGTGCTGTGGGTATTCGTGCTGCTGTGTAGGCAATTGCTTACGAGGATTCCGCTGATACGAGCGGTGGCTTGCACCTGGATGTGCGTATCTTGGGTATTGCCCTCTTACAGCTCTATACTCTTGAGGGCTGAGAACGAATATGGATGTAACGTCAGGCCTATTAGGGCTAAATATCACAGCGTGTTTTTGGTCCCTTACGCTTCTTTTCTGTTAGGGGTAAGTTTCGTTTCCTAATCATAAAGGTCTCTCCCTTCTTCGGCATATTTTGATTCATTTCGTTTGGACATGGCCTAGGGTGATTGCTCAATAGGCTATGCCGTACTCCATATATGTGCAACTTTCTCGACGAACTGGGTATGCTCCTTCCACGCCTGGCCTGGAGTTCTCGGTGAGCGGGTGCGAAACCCCAAGGGGCGACTGCACCCTTCGGACCTATCTTGGTATATGAGAATATTCTCAAGAGACCACCACCATCCTTAAGGTATACGCACACCAGAAAGCGCAGCTCTCCTGTCTTCTGGGACCAGGCCAAGGTCGGATCAAACTGGTCATGGCAATGTTCGTCGATGAATATGACATTCTACTTGGCATTGTGCCGGAGGCTGGGTCGGATGCAGACAAAGCAAAGACGGGAAAAGGGGCTACTGCTGCGCCTCAGTTATCAGCTCTTGTCGCTTGAGGCCTGTGTGCGGAGTCCTTCACATATACAAAAGACACCGGTCAACTGGCTTGACAACTGGAGATTTGTGCCCGATAGTGATTCAAGTCCTCTCGTGCTAGTCTACATAGACACATTCCCAGATCCAGGCGCTTCGCGTCCACAGACATACGGAGAGCGCGTAGCAGTTGAGTTGAAATCGGTAGTCGAGACGATAGATACGCGCCAGGGGGGTTCACGTTGATGCTATTGAGGTAGAGAGAGCATCTAGGCTTCGATCAGCGCGGAGCTTCCGTGGCCCAGAAGTGCGATAGGCCGCTACATCCATCCTCCAGTGGCTCACAGCACCCCAGTGCGTCGTATTCGAAGCCATTTCCATCTCTTCTTAAACCATGTATGATGCTGCTACAATTGAAGTCACTCTTCAGACCAGATCGGACCTTCCCCTTTTATCGTGTAAGTTGAGTAAATTCAGCAGGTCCAAAAGGAGTATCTTCGGCTGCCCTGCCTGGTACACCACCCGAATTATCATAACGACGGAAGGCGCCAATGCCCTGCGCATCTAGCGCCTTAGCAACGCGATTCCTTCATCAAACAGAACAAGCACCTGTGGCCGATTTGAAAAGCACACACACGCATCTTACTTTGGTACATCTTAAGCTACACTGAACCCTCATAAGTCTTCGTACGCCCCCCATTACCAAGCGAAAGGTGCATCTATGAGAAATGGAATAAACACCCAGGAATAAGCATCGAAGATGACTTTATTGCCATGAGCTGCTTATTCCAATATTCCCAAAACTCCACATGTGATCTGGAATTCTTCCAACGTGGCGCGTACGGAGACTTATGAGGGCTGAGTGTAACGCATTCTCAGAACAATTATTGGGCCCTCTTAATAATACAACTCAGGAGACCAACCAGTGTCTCCTGAACTCTAACTAAAGGTGAAGCAGTCAACTCTCCCCAACCATAAATTGGGGCTGGTAAGTTGGGTGTGGTGGCGGCCTGGGGATGCCGCTGACGAGCGGTTTCTCTGGGTCGGAGGCCTGGGGATGCCACTGACGCGTGGTTTCCCTGGGTCAGAGACGAGAGGTCCGATGAGTAAGTTTATACCTCCCTTTCCGTCACATCCCCCTGCAAGTCTGCCACGGTGCTTGTTCTGGTTCGACGATACGAAATAAATCCATAACATTTTTTATTTTGCAAAATTTCTAATAGTATTCAGCGTTTTATTTTTGTTTTTGTTTTTGTTTTTGTTGTTGTTCTACCTCGATTGTCCCAAGGCATGTTTTGCTTAATCTTTCGATTGTCCTAGAGGCCGCTTTGTGAGCTGGCCATTAACTAGGATATCCTACCTATAGACGTCATGGTTAGCATTTCTTGAGATTGAGCCGACCTCAAGCGGCCAATCGAGACTGTTGGGACATCGGTCTCGATGACTTGGTCCACTGGACTCCCAGCCCGTCCAATCCAAATCACAAGACATGGTTGTTAGAATCATTTGCTAGACTGGCCCATTCCTATGTCTAATGCAGCTTCGTCAGTTGCAAGCCGACCGGGACGGCGAGCGGGGTCTCGTAGGCCGGCTGCTTCGCAGTACATCGCAGGGAGAGGCTGAAGGCGCGAACAAGACCTTGAAAGTCACCATTGAGGACAAGACGTTCATGGCGCATTGCAAATAAGCACCTCACAGCGAGCACTGGGCAGCGTTTACTGCAGCGCGAAACTTATCCAAAGTGCCTGCAAAGCGCGTCTGAGATGACCCTCTGGACTCACGGACTACCTGGAGCTGGGAGCCGGAAAGCCACCAGCTGTCCCCGCCGATCGTGAACGCCGCCCTGTCGTTCCACACGTGTCACATGGCTGTTGTTTTCTTTGAGTGTGACTGAGACCGAGGAGATATTCGGGGTCCCGGACTGGTGATGGGCAGCCTTGGTAGGGACATATCTCTCAACCGCGAACGTCCAGCCGCCGCTGGCTTTATGAGGCAGAGATCTCGCCGAAGAAGAGAAAGAAGTTGGTGCTTGGCTGCCCGTGGTGGACTGCGTCGGACTTCTCATCGAGCTCACCGGGATCAGCTTAGGATAATTCTTTGTCCTAGACGGACTGGACGCGTGCGGTAAAATGAGTCCCGCCGCTCCTAGATGCATGTCCTTAATCGAGTAAGAGGCGAGATGAAGTCGCTTGTCAAGTTCTACATTACAAGCCAAGATGACGAATATGCCAAAGCGTGCGATGAAGCAAATGTAAGCTCTCACAATATCAGTTATAAGCGACCAAGATTATCAAGATGACATAGGGTGTTTCGTCGCTGTCAAAATGGCGGAATGTGACTGTTGCCGGACCAGGTCGTCACTAGAGCCACGAGAAGAGAGCACACAGAGTCTCCATACCCAAAGCTAGAGAGTGTAAGTGATCGTGATATCTGGGTGACTCTCCCTACCTTCGAAACCAAATGGAGCCAAAATACCGCTTGAACAAGACTGCAGGGTGTCTTTGGCTTTGGCAGCATGCCAATATCAGCTTTCGCTCGTACGATCCATCGGTCCAGCCCGTTCACCAAGTACTTGCTGCCGCAACTGTTTATATAAGAGTTGAACCGGACCTGGCAGTGTCGGCTTTTCCGGCAGATCTGAAAGAACACACTTCAAGTACCAAGTCTGAATGGCTTCGAATTGGTTAACTATAGGATAGACGACGCCGGTAATCTTTCACCATTAAGTCCTCTGCCTGTCGGCGTGGGGAGCTTCATCACACAGACACGCTTCTCTAAATCGTTCTGTGAGACGCCGCGGAGAACATAAGCTACGCATGAAATCTAGAGTCCAAGGATCATAGTTATACCCCGGCCATGCGCGAATGGCCGGGATAAGCTCCCCAGAGGCATCGCAAGGGAGCCTCTCTCACAGCGAGCCACGGCCAGCAGGAAACAAATCGACTAATACTAGGCACAGGAACTACGAAGCAGGAGACAGAATAATATCATAACGTGGACCGAGACGGTGAATTTCTCCAAGGATGTGCAAGATGCTCCGAGCAGGCTGATCTGATCAGATCCTGTCCATGCGCGAGAGCTACTATTAGTTTATTTCGTCGTTCTAACGCAGGTGAGGGAGGTAGCAGCGTACTTGTTAGCGCGGCCGCAGTGCAATAACAGTTCATCGCATTGCTCAACTGCAGTGCTTGCTCATAGGTGATCCGTTCTGGCATAGTTCAAGCCCGACTGCAGGATAGTTTCGTTTGATATACTGGCAATGAAAGCTGTAGCAATCAATAATGCCGTAAATACCTCGCGATACTGTGAAGCAGTGTTTACACCAGCATGAAGTGAACCAAATGAGAAGCGCTGAGCCCTTCTTGATATACCAAAGAGTTCGCTTATCTAAAACGCTAAAACCAGTCTTTACGTGATTCACTTACTCGTCAGACGCACACAGCACCATACAACAAGCAGCCAGCTCAGTAAGTTAGTCCCACGCCCGAAGCTTAACACTCCCGCACCCCCCTAACGCGTCGTTCCGAAGCACGTTACACAAGCCGGTCTGCCTGACATCAGCCATATAATTACGGTACAAGCCAGAAGATCAAACCGAAACCGAAAGCCGAGGGACCGGCGGCCGGCGGTATCCAGGTCTAGCCTCGGCCGAGCTTCTCTCCTGTCAGTTGCTAGTTGCGAGCTCCGGGCTGTGTGGTCACTCAAGCTCTCCCAGGCTGCTTGATTTGTTCTAGCTTTAGCTATGGGTAGCTACACGGAGCTCTAAGTATCTAAGTACATAATAGCTCCAGGATAACTGCATCCAGCCAGTCACTCAGTCAGTCACTCGGAGCTCAGGGGTGACTGCACCAGCACAACATCGCGGGTAGCAACATCCACCTCCAGTATCACAATATCATGACGCAGCCCCCCGTATGCTATGCTGCAAGCTCAAACACACAGACACGGCAGCGGCAGCACTGTATTCGGACATGCCGGACAAGGGTGAGTTCTTCACGAAAGGGTGAAAACTTTAGGTTACATGAGAAGAGACCGGTAGCAAAGAGGCAAGCAGACAGGCCGGCATGCCCAGACGGGAGGAATGGGCTTGGCGATAGACGACTGGGTGACTGTGCGTGGTTTTCTCGCCGGGGGCGGGTAGCAATGGAACGCACCTTGCATAAAATCGCATCGCGACGTGCCGATGGACAAATAGGAACGGGGCCGGCGGTCGGTAACGTTATGCCTACCCCTTGGTTGCAACCTGGAGCTATGTGCCTGGGTGGGAGATGAGAGATGGAAATTGTCGTCGGTGCCAAAACGAACAGGCAACCAAGTAGGCAAACACGCAACCAGGCA